TCTGTGAAAAAAATTGAGTGGATTGCCACATCGATGTCGACGTGTCGCTTTCTTAATGGTCGAAACCATCGATTGCAACGTTTCCATGTTAGAATCTGAAGCCGCCTTCACCATCTTTAGAAAAGAAACCGATATAAATCCAACTCGTTACGGCACTCCACCTGAACGGAAGCTAAACAAACAAACAGAATATTCCATTTTTACGAACGGAATATTTCTTCTCTGACGATGAATTCCCAAGCCCGAGAGGAGAAGTTATCGGAAGAGGACCTGGACAAAGACACCGCTGAGGAATCCGAATCCAAACGCCTCTTACCGTCTCAATCTCATTCCTCGTCGTCTTCGTCCGATGATGAAATCGAGGTCGCATTCGAATCCCGAGAGAAAATCGTGATCGTCGAAGTGGACACACCGGAATCCATCCAAAATGTCGATTTTGTCCCTCCGTTTCCCTGGAAGAAGCTTTGGTTGTTTACTGGACCGGGTTTTCTAATGAGTATAGCGTTTTTAGATCCGGGAATTTGGAAGGGGATCTCCAGGCTGGGGCAATTGCGGGTTACTCTTTGCTTTGGTTGTTGATGTGGGCCACCGTCATGGGTCTGCTGATCCAGTTGTTGTCGGCTCGGGTCTGGGTGGCAACGGGACGGCATCTAGCGGAGCTCTGCCGGGAGGAGTATCAGAGTTGGGCTCGATTTGTGCTGTGGTTCATGGCGGAATTGGCTCTTATTGGAGCTGATATTCAGGAGGTTATTGGGACTGCTCTAGCTATCCAAATTTTGAGTAATGGGGCTTTGCCACTGTGGGCTGGGGTCTTAATTACCGCGTCGGATTGGTAAACGCCCTCAATTTGATGAATTTCTTATGCTTTTTTGTTTAAATTTTTATTTGATTCACCAAGTTTCGTCTTTTTTTTTTTTTGGTTCTTTATCTGGTTGATGTTTTAGATTTGTTTGAATTTAACGTCTGAGCCTTTTTTACGTTTCTGGGTGTTAACTGGACAAGTTCAAGCTAGATCATATTATTTTAAATTGAAAATTGATTTTTTTTTCACCTCTAACAAGTGTTTGGCATGCTCTTTGTTTACAGTTTTATCTTTTTATTCCTGGAGAATTATGGAGTTAGGAAACTAGAAGCTGTTTTTGCTGTTTTAATTGCAACTATGGCTTTTATCATTTGCTTGGATGTTTGGCGATACAAAACCCAGTGGAAGAGAACTACTAATAGGTTTTTTTTTAACATAATAATCATTTTGCATGAAGTGATATTTCATTTTTTTGGTACTAGCTTTCTCTATTGTTTTAGGTATTTTGGTTCTTAGGCTCCGCTCAAAAATGATTCGGCAAGCTGTGGGGGTTGTAGGTTGTGTCATAATGCCTCATAACGTATTCGTGCATTCTGCTTTGGTACAATCAAGAAAGATTGATCTCAAAAAGAGGCCAGGTTCAAGAGGCACTAAAGTACTACTCAATTGAGTCATCTGTTGCGCTTCTGGTTTCCTTCATGATCAATTTGTTTGTTACAACTGTCTTTGCCAAGGGATTCTATGTTACAAGACAGGCAAATAACATAGGACTAGTTAATGCAGGGCAGTATCATGAGGAGGAGAAGTATGGTGGAGAACTCTTTCCAATTCTCTACATATGGGGTATTGGGTTGTTGGCAGCTGGTCAAAGTAGTACAATAACTGGCACATATGCTGGGCAGTTTATAATGGGAGGTTTTCTCAACCTTCGTCTGAAGAAGTGGTTGAGGGCATTTATTACACGGAGCTTTGCAATTGTGCCGACTATTATTGTAGCTCTTGTGTTTAACACATCCGAAGCCTCGTTGGATGTTTTGAATGAATGGCTTAATGTACTTCAATCAATACAGATTCCTTTTGCACTTATCCCACTTATAACCTTGGTCTCCAAGGAGCAGGTTATGGGGGTCTTTAGGATTGGGCCTATTCTTGAGGTAAGTTTTATGTTCACTTGTCTTCAATTTTATTTGTACTATCTTTTACGTCACATGAGTGACTATTGGTAGTTTGCTGCAGCCTGCATGTTATAATGAATAAACTATCAGCAGTTATCATATTTGAAATCAATTCCAAGTCATTTCGTAAATATTAGTTTAAAATTTCATGTTTGAAACAATTTGATTGCAAAGAGAACAGGATAAGAAACATGATCAACCACCTCAAGTTTCTATTACTATCACTATAACAGCTTGCTTTACTTTTACATGGCTTTCCTCATCTACTAGTTGGTTGTCTTTTAAACACAAGAAACTCGAGTTGGTTTTCTATTCTGGAAACCAAAATTTTATCAAGATTTTGATACTAGTTAATTAGTGATGCAAAACTTGCCACCAATGAACCCATATAATATGTCCTGTCACAGATATTACCTAGGCATTTGCTCATCAGTAAACTCATTACTTTCATTTTGTCATCAGTGATACTCTCTAGGCCTATACAGTGAAAAGGTATAAAACTGTGCTGATATATGAATGTATGCAGTATGCTAGCTTTTCTATGTAGAAAGCATATGTAATGGAGTGACCATGACATTTGTTGGAGGGTAATCTAAATTACCTTAAGGCTTAGGTTATTGATCTCACGACCTTCAGAAGTGGACATCTTCAATGCTATTGTTTTGGTTATTCTATTATATCTCCATTATTTGCAAAATATGTTGTAGTACCAAACTTGTAAGGATTGTGTCTTAATTTTAGTAATTCTATTGATTAAGGCTACTTTTTTTTTGGGGGGGGAGGGGGGGGAGAGAGCCAAGGGCACCATTTTGTTCTGGGGGGACTTTCTAGAGAACCCTCGAGTCAAAGGAGATTTCACCTCAAATTACATTCTTTTTGGAAGGGTCCTATCAAAGAGCATGAAGTTCATTCTAGAGTTCCATGGAGCCTAGGATCCGTTGAATTTCCTACAAATATTTTCATTGAGAGAGCATTTGGCTTTACTGGGAGTGATTGTCGTGTGAACCTGTGTGCTCACTGGAAATACAGCTATATATGAACCCATGGAGATACGAATGGAGCAAATTGATGCATACAGTTTGTCGGTTGCTATAGTTAAAAAAAAAAAAAACAATTTAAAGAATCTCCTGTTGTAATTCTTTATTATTCAGTCTTTTCCAGCCAATGAAGGCTTTTCTAGGAAAACAAAGCTTCAAAATTGATCTTCCCAGCTTTATGCAAATTTTGTGAAATCTTAACAACATGTTTTGGAAATGAAAATGGATTGGATACTTTTAGTTTGTTTTTTGGTGTCATCAGTTATCAAAGATAGGATAGTTAATTTAATTTAATTACTCATTAGTATCATTCTTTTAGTTTACCATTCTTTTCAATTTTATATGCAATATACTAGTTCGCTTAAGCATCAACCATTGTATATGCAACATACTAGTTAGCTTGAGCTGCTGTGATAGATGATACTTAAGTGAATAAATAGATAAGTTATGAATGGTTTCATGTATCAATTAAAAAGATAGATAACTTTTTGTGGGTTTATGTATTGTATTATTTTGCAGAGAGTGGCATGGACTGTGGCCGCCCTGGTAAGAATAATCAACAGGCATCTTTTGCTGGATTTCTTTGTTTCCGAAGTCAAGGGACTGCTATTTGGATTATTCATCTGTTCTTGGACAGCTGCATAAATGGCATTCATTGTTTATCTTGTTTCAAGGGGCGGTGCTCTTCCTTCTACTTGGTTCAGCATAGAACTATCCAAGAGATTTTCTGCGGCCGGAAGTTAAGGAGCCAAGAAAATGCAGTCAGAGCTAGGACTAACAAATTCTCAGAATTATATAGCTGTCTATATAAGCCTCCAAATAGCATGATGGCAATTGATCAATATCTCAAAAAGTGAAGCATTCTTTGTTGCATCAGCAAGCTTGAATATACATATCCAAACAATAACAGCTGGTTCGTTATCTTACCACCTTACTTGTGAGAGCTGCACAGAGTTATATGTCATCTCATAAATCATGTAAGGCTAACTTTTTATTTTGATTCCCTTTCATTCTGGAGGATGGAGAGGAAACATTTTTACAACCTGCAGGCTGAATTACATCCATTTCTAAGTTAGAAGAAACTGTGTAGGTTTTATATTCTTTGGCGTAACAGCTTCCCATGTACCATAGTGGCATAGTCAACTGCCATTCTTCTTTCCCAAAAGGGGACTATACAATACAAGAATTGAATTTTGCAATTCCCCTGTTCTGGAATCTGTATCATACCTTCTTAATTCGAGAATTTCATTTCCATTCTATGACTTTTACAATTCCCCTGTTCTGGAATCAGTATCATACTCTCTTAATTCCAGAAATTTAATGCAGCCACTATAACAGCTAATGTTAAGATTTATGGGAAGGGATGAATTAAAGATAGTACTAATATTTTTTTAATCACGAATAAATCTCTAGATTAGTGTAGCCTAAGTGAAGTGATTATGTAATTAATCTTCTTATTAGGACCAGAATGCTTAAAATAAACAAAAAAGGACTTTACAAAAGAGGACAAAAGAATATAAAGAAGAAGAAACGAAAAAGCGATATCTTTGTTTAATAATTGGTCAGCGATGGTGGATCAGACAAGCAGACATACAGACATACAACCGAGGATTCACAGTTGTGTTTCTATGTTGGCATAAAGTTTTGTAGCTTTTGAGAGAGTTTTACTTTGTTTCAAGCATGAAAAAGTTTCCATAAAATGCATGAAAAAAGTCTCCTTTTTTCAGCAATAATTTTCTTGTTTTTTAGCCTTATTGCCACAGTCTCGCACTGCATCGTGACTGTCTCTCAGTCTCTTAAGTCCTTTCCATTTTTACAAGAAAAAGAAAGCAAAAACCGATATTTACCCAATCAAATCACAAGATTTGTTTCACATAACTCCTAATTGAATTAAAAATTTGCCCGACTTTATCTCCATAATATATATTTTTTGTTATAAATACGTGCTTTTAAAACCCTTTTAAAACAAAACCAAAAACCCTTCAGAAACTTTTTCTTTCTTTCTTTCGTTTCCCTTTTAAGATTTTTTTCGGCTTTGATGGAGGCCGTACGCGGAAACCGATCTGTCTCTGAAACGACACCGGTTTTGGCTCCGTTTTCACGGTCACCGGAAAGTTGTCTCCCTTTTAATCATAACCTACAACCTGTATTTGCAGAAACTTCCGTACAAAACAACCCTTTTGGAGATAACGCTTTTGATAAAATCCTGGAATCAGCCTTTTCTCGTCTCAATGTGTCAACTCAGAAGAATCAAGAGTTAGGCCATCATGGTCTTGTTAGTGGTGAATTCTTGGACAGGTCCGGTTTTGGTTTTGGTGGTGGGTTGGCAAGAACAGGACAAGAGAGAAACAATGTTGATGAGGGTCTGAATGTGGGTTTTAATGGAGTGATGAGGGTGGGGCCAGATATTGGTAGTTGGGATACTTTCATGTCTTGTTCGTATCAACCCTTCAATTTAAATGGCAATGGGTATTTGCTTGATTCAAGAAGAAAAGAACTTTTCAATGAAATCTCAATATTACCCTCTTCCAATCAAAATGGATTGGCTGCGGCTGCTGCCGGTGCCGGTTGCTCAAGGGCTTCTTGTTCAAAAAACAAGAATGTAATGAGATCTAGTTTTAGTAGTCATAACAATAATCAGACTAATAATAGTTTTAGGAGGCCTCATTGGTTACAGGAACCTTTGAATTGTTTAAGTCTAGGGGATGTGAGAGGTAGGATTGTGTCCTTAGCAAAAGATCAATACGGTTGTAGGTTTTTACAAGGGGCTATTCATGAAGCGTCGAAGGAGGAAATTGATATGATTTTAATGGAGGTTATTGATCATGTCGGTGAGTTGATGTTGGACCCTTTTGCGAATTATGTTGTTCAAAAACTTGTAGATATGTGTAGTGAGGAACAGAAGAGTCAGATTCTTTTAATGGTTGTTAAGGATGGTTTTCGACTTGTCAACATTTGTCTCAATGTTCATGGGTATGTTTTGTTTGGTTTATTCTCGTTTCTATTTTTTTTCCTCTTAAGAAAAAGTTTGTTTCCAATAACTTTTTCATTTTGGTGGCAGGACTCGTGCTGTACAGAAATTGTTGGAGAACCTTACTACTCAACAGCAAATCTCGTTAGTTTTGTCAGCTCTAAGCCCTGGCACTGTTGCATTGACCAAGGACATGAATGGTCATCGTGTAATCCAGCATTGCTTGAAAAATTTCTCTGAAGAAGATAATAAGGTAACATTCAAGAGTTAAGAGTTGTTGGATTGGTTTTGATTTGAATTAAACTTCATTTGGTTATATTCATCTTGTTTTAATTTAATTGTTTCTGTGTATTTGTTCTTCTTGGTTCTTAGATAGATATGTTCAGTCATTTGAATTAAATTGCAGAGGTTACTATGATACTTCGTTTCTCAAACGTTATTACAATGAAATAGATGCATTAACTGCTTCTTTCTCTCTTCCTTCTGTTTTATACATTTGTTGATGTCGAACATATTTTGTGACCACTGATTTTCATCGGCAGTATCTTCTGAATGAGGTGGCAGATAACTGTTATCAAATTGCAACAGACAAAAGTGGATGTTGTGCACTGCAGCAATGTGTTGACCACTCTAAGGGAGAGGCCAGAGTGCATCTAGTTGGAGAGATAATAGCAAATGCTCTACACCTAGCTGAAGATCAATATGGGTGTGTGGTTCTCTGAAACCTAATGTGTTAGTTCCCGGAAAGTTGGTGTGCGTGCGTGTGTGTGTGTGTGTTTATTTAAAAGGTCTCCCCTTGTTGCTAAATTGACCTCGATATACTCCTGTATTTTTTTTTTCTCTAGCAACTATGTGGTGCAACATATACTGGGACTCAAAGAGCCACAAATAACAGAAAGTCTTCTGAGACAGCTTGAAGGGAATTATGCATCTCTTTCCTGCAATAGATATGGAAGCAATGTTGTGGAGAAGTGCTTGGTGGAATCGGGAGAACAGCAGTCTACGAGAATTATAATGGAGTTGCTTAAAAGTCCCATTGTATCAAGGCTTCTTGTGGATCCTTTTGGAAACTATGTTATCCAATCAGCTTTGTCAGTGTCTAAGGTTACATAATTCTCACACTCTGCTACTTCCATGCATCTTCATGGTCATTTGGTGCACTTGCATAGGTGTTTATGTATAGTACAACTATATATAAATGTCTTAAGCTACTCCGTTAGACGTTAATCAATTGCACCTGGATAGGTTTGGGTTGGGCACACTCACAAAGGATTGGTCAGTGTGATTATCAGAGTAAATTCTTTCATCGAACTTTCTATATAATTGGGTTTACATGAAAAGACTCTTTCTTGAGTCAGCTCTTAAAAACAGCTTTGGCCTGACTCTATAGTAGCCTGATATCAGTATTACCACAACATGGAATGATTTACGTGCTTAACTATTACTAATAGCAACTTATTTTTGGTTTTGATGTTACTTTTAATTGCATGAGCAGGGCTTTGTTTACTATGCTTTGCTGAATCTGGTGCGGGTGAACTCTCCAATGATGCGCAGCCATGTTTATGGAAAATGGGTACTTGCCTGGTTCAACAAGCGAAAGCCGCTCCGCATGTAAACTTAGAAAATTACAAAATTATAACATGAAGAGATATCCTAATAATTAGAGATTTTCACTACAAATAGGTCTTAGGCATCCATAAGGATACAAATAGGATTTTGTGTACCAGAGTTGATACACTATCTGATGCGTCATTGTGTAGGGTTATTGTGGGTGTTTGTAGTTTGTAGTCACATGAATTTCTGAGGATTGATACACTCAGATGTTGGGATCTTGATAGTGGTGGCCATGGTTACTGTGACAGTTAGATACAGACTAACGTGAAAAGTTGAGGTAACAATCATTCTTTAGGGCATTTGAAAAGGGAATACACCATATTATGAGGTTTTTCCGCTTTTGTTTGTCGTAACTCTCTATATGTTGAAGCATTTCCTTGTTCAAGGGCATTGGTTTGCTTGGGTCATTTTAACCCCTTTTTCTCGTTCAAGTGTTCTTGCAGCTTTCTAATGGAAGCAGCTGCAATCCGTTGTTGCACCAAGTTTTCGTATAAGATGTTCAAACTTTTGACACTTATTTGAAAGTAGTGATACTTGCGCAAAGATTTTCACTTTGTGAAACCTGTCCCTCAAATCCCTGTTTACCCTCTTTTTCGAAGGAGGAAAACATGTTTTAGCGATGTAAAGGAGAATGATATGTAATCAAGTCAAGTGACGCTGCCGAGTCCATTGAAAGGGAAACAAGTTTGAGTTAAACTCGATCATGGTTCGTCGGTGATTTTCATATTTGCATATGATATAGCATAACTTACTTATAAAAAAAAAATCTCTGTTTATTTCTTAGGTCCTACTTCCGCTGTGTATTATTATCGTATTAAATATATAAAATATAAAAATAATTACATTTATTTTTTATAAAATACATATAAAATATAATATTATAATAATATTATTTACATATTAAATATATAAAATAAAAAATTATCTTATGATAATTTATACTCATAAATATAAAATATATTTTAAAATTTATTATTTAAAATTTTTTTATTAAATTTATATATAATTTTTATTAAAAATTTAAATTATATCATTTTTATTTTTTATTTATACTGTTAATCCCTTTGTTTTGCAAAGATTATTAATTATTGTTGTTGTCAAACCTCTAACCTAACGATTAAAAACATTTAAAAAAATATCAAAAAACTAATTTCGAATCAAATCGCTTTCTTCGCCTTTGTATTAGAATTTTATCCTCTCGTAACAAAAAAAATTACGGTTAAAAGAACAGAATAGTTGACTAAAACTCTATTATAACTCATGACGTGCCTTCCCTTGATTGGCCCACCTCTATGTCAGTTAAAATAAATAAAAACAAAGCTGCATAATTTCTTTTGTTTTTCTTTTTCCTTTTTAACGGAGGAGTGCACTTTATCGGTACTCCGTCGGAAATGGTCTGTCGTCGTTGACCATAATCTGCAGACTGCAGTCAAGCTGAAGCGCCATGGCTCGAACCTGGCTTCACCTAACCTCTTTCCTTCTAATTGTCTGTTCCGTAATTTGGTTCCATCTCTCCACCGTCAATGCAAAAAGTAATCACCGACGGCCAATGGTCCTTCTTCTACATCTATCATCACGCAATCATTCCCTGCACTGACACGTGGACAATCTCCGCCGCCATCTTCAGCAATCGGAACTCTCTTGTTCAACTCCAAACGCTCGCATGAGACTATACTATGATCTCCTCTCCAACGGGTCCCTCTCCTATTAAAAAAAGTTTCTTTTTTTTTTCAGTTTGAATTTTTTGAAATATGGAGGGAATTTATTATTATTATCATTGCTGACTTGCAGTTATTATACGACTCGGCTATGGATAGGAACGCCGCCTCAGGAATTCGCTCTTATCGTCGACACCGAAGCACTGTAACTTATGTTCCTTGCTCCAGTTGTGCACGGTGCGGCAAACATCAGGTTCGGTTCCGTCTTATCAAGTTCGTACGGTTCAGCTTTCCCAGTTGTTAGTTGAAATTATTCTATTTGAAATTGATATCTTTTGTTGAAAAATGAGATTGAGATTATTAACTTTAATCAAATTGAAATTATCGGCTTAGTGGAAATTTAAAGTAAAGAGAGGAGTTAAGTGGCGATTTCGAGTCTTAGTCTTTTCCATTATGTGAAAGTGAGTTATTCTTGGTTGCGAGATTTAGAATCTTAGTCTAATTTCTTGGTTTCTAGATCTGTTAGTTGGAAATTAATTAGGGGAACTGGTGATTTTGTGGCAATAATAATCTCTTGTCGAAAAATCCAGGATCCACGGTTCCAACCGGATTTGTCTAGCACTTATCAACTTGTAAAATGCAATCCGAGTTGTAATTGTGATGATGAGCAAAAGCAATGCACTTACGATAGACGGTATGCTGAGATGAGTTCCAGCAGTGGGGTGCTTGGTGAGGATGTTGTTTCTTTTGGGAATGAAAGTGAACTTGTGCCTCAGCGTGCTGTTTTTGGTTGCGAAAATATGGAAACGGGTGATCTTTACAGCCAACGAGCTGATGGTATAATGGGTTTGGGTCGTGGGAGGCTTAGTATTATGGATCAATTTGTTGATAAGGATGCTATTGATGATTCATTTTCTTTGTGTTATGGTGGGATGGATGTTGGTGGGGGTGCAATGGTTCTTGGGAAAATCACTCCTTCCCCTGATATGGTTTTCTCTCATTCAGACCCTTTCCACAGTTATATTTCTCTTACAGGATTGTATTTGTGGATGCATTTTTCCTAAGAATGCATCTGGTTCTTCTTACACATTCACTGTAATTTTTTTAATGTCAACAGTCCTTACTACAACATTGAGCTGAAGGAAATGTGCGTTGCTGGAAAGAAATTGAAGTTACCTGCTGGAATCTTTGATGGAAGGCATGGAACAGTCTTGGACAGTGGAACAACATACGCTTACTTTCTGGAAGATGCTTTTGTTGCATTTAAAGATGCTGTAAGATCTAGTAGCTTTGAGTTTCATGCTAAGTTTAGTTTGTTTGCTAGTCAAGTTCTTATTTCCTATTCAACGATTAATATTTACTTTGCAGAATCCAGAATTGTTAGTTGAGGCTTAGACAAGTCTTTTTTTTTTTTAATTTTATTTTGCATGGGAGGTTTAAAAGCATGTGCTTTTGTTGCGCTTGCATGCGCCCTAATAGATGAATGACCACTCATTTTGTCATTTATTGTAATCTAGTTTACTTTGAGAAGAGCAAGTTGGAAATTTATGCATTTAGGTATTATATTGGGGAGGAAACCGAGTACAGGTACATATTAATATATCTGAGTTACAGTTTCATTTAAACTAGTTATTCCTTATGAAAACTGCTTTTTTACTTTCCAAGCACTTGGAGATGCTGCTTACTAAATATTGGTACCATCTGCTTTAATTATCCAATTTCTGGAACTCGTCATTTATAGGACCTTTTCACTTCAGAAACTTGAAGCATGTCTATTCTGCTTGATTATGATCCTTAAACAAATATGGTGTCCATTTTCGTATTTATTATTGGGGAATTAGTAACACTTTGTCAAGGAAAGATAAAGTACTGGTAAAATATTAATTGACTTTTTGCAATTTGCATTTTTTAAGTTATTTTGGAAGCTTGAATGAATTAACATGTTTATGACAACTATTATTATTGGGGATTGATTTCTGTGGTTTAGCCATTTACGATTTAGTATTTCATGAACCGTTGCTTGGTCTGTACCTTCACTTGAAAATTATCGCTGCAACCACAACATCAAGGATTCATTATAGCCGAAACCTTCATTAATCTCTTTCATTGGAAAATACTTGATGTTTGTGTTGTTCTGTACTTGCTGCATCTCAAACTATTTTGTCAGTTTATTCATGATTGTCTTTATTTGTTTAAATTTAATCTTTATTAACATAGATATCAGCATCTATATATCTGCATGCTAATGTTCAGAACTGTTCTTCATGATTGTTTGGCTATTTTAATGCTGATCCTAAAGGAAGTTCATTTTCTCCAAAGGGTCCGTGGTCCTGACCCTAATTTTGTTTTTCTGGTGCTGGAAGGTGTTGCCAATAACTTTTTCATTTGAAATGCTGAAATTTGATATCTTGAATCCATCTTAATGGTTTTTCATGAAATGTGATACAGGGATGTTTCCCAACCATCAAAAAATTTCCCAGAGGTTGAGATGGTATTCAACAATGGAAAGAAGTTATTGCTGTCTCCAGAAAACTACCCGTTCCGGGTAATTAATCTTTTTAAACTCTGCATGCTTGAAGACCAAAATGGGTCCCTGGTTGGTGGCAAAGCTAATTTAAGTGGTTATAAGACATTCTTGCCTTGTCTATTTTCTGTGATAGCTTTTCATACTAATATCTGACACATATCTCTTCTATCTCTGTCTCTTAATGGCATGCTTTGTAGCACACAAAGGTTAGTGGTGCATATTGCTTGGGAATTTTCCCAAATACAGAATTGACTACTCTTTTAGGAGGTATGTTGCATCATTTGCCAAAGACAAACACCCCTCTCCCTCTATGTATGTGCAATTGTAGCATAGCGTATCATATAGTTTTGAAAAGCAAATGCCAAAAGTCTAAAGTTCTTGTAGTATACCTGGGCTTGCTTGGACCATATGCTTCTTTCCAACTCAATACATCCTGTTTGTTTGCATGACTGCAGTAATAATCTCTTTAACTTTTGTTTGTTTGAGGCAGGAATTGTCGTCTGGAACACCCTAGTCACTTATGATCGGGGTAATGACAGGATAGGGTTTTTAAAAACTAATTGTTCTGAACTATGGCGGAGAGTGCAGTTATCTGATGGACCTGCACCTTCTCCTTTAGTCTCCCAAAGCAAGCATACTAACATGGAGATTCCTTCTACACTTGCCCCTAGTGGATCGCCACCAAATGTTCTTCCAGGTGCATGGCTTATTACTTGCTTCTGTACAATGTTTTCCTCATGTTCATTGGTTTCTTCTCTTGCACTGTTTCATGAATTGATGTATTATGATCACAATTTAAGTATACATACTTTCTTATATATAGGTTAGTTGTTATGTTCTTTTCTCATGAAGGAAAAATCAAGCCAGATGAAAATTACAAATATAAACAGAGATGCTGTACTTGGTTTGAAACTTCTGCTGGTGTAGACCATAGAGCATTGATGGAAATTAGAAACATAAAAGAAGGATCGGTGGTATTGTGCAAAACTACACTATAGTAAACATGCATCCTAGAAGTTTGCCTACTTTAACTGCTAATCTCACGCCTGTTTTTCTCAGTCACCTTGGTGATAGTTGAAACTGGAGTTCTCTCTCTCTTTTATTCTTTATAAGTTTTTCTTTTTATGATATTTAAGTTTTTGAAAAAGAAGTTGCTTTTTGTACGAGGCTGATGACAGATTTACTTTTGAAATCTTGATAAAATTTGTTATTCAAACAAAGATTGTATCATCTATGGAGTTAGATTTTTGTGGTAATAAGATAAAAGTGTCTTTTAGATTTAAAGGAGGCTTATAATTCCCAATAAGTAGCCTACATGCAACCCCAGGGATGTTATATATATTTAGATTCCTCATATAATTATCATTTTCTGCTAGCAGAATGGGCTTGCTTATTACTTTAGCCTGTCCAGTATTTGCATGACATGGTGCTTATTTCATTTTCTATGGATTTGACATTTAGTATGATGATAAGATTAGTAGTCTTGTTGATTTTTGAGTGATAGTAATTCAAACATTCATACAATGGTCGTGTGTAAACTGTACATTTCTCTGATGATATTTTCTCCCAAACATGATAATCAGGTTCATTTCACAATGGATTTTTAACATTTGATATGTCAATTAGCACAAACAATTCCAACTTGAAGCCCGACTTCAAGGAGCTTGTAGAATTAATTTCCCATGAACTGGAAGTTGATAATTCACAGGTACTTTTGAATTACCTTGACTTTAACTAAGTTTTTTAGGCCTTGTGGAAATTAGATTTGAGGTTATGTGCTGGACTGCTTTTGAAATATTTTATTTATTGATTCACTTTTTTAGGAAGAACCATCTTATTTGGTTATTGTTTCAATGTAATCTGAATCAGATTTCAAGTAATGATGTCATATATTGGAATCATTGGCAGAATTTCATGGTTTTGTCAAAATATGTGATGTATAAATCTAACTAGAGCCTAGAGGTGTCCACCTGCTCCACCCTAAATTTGGTTGGGCTGGGGCTAGATAAAAAAGTTAGGCCTGATAAAAATTCCAGCTGGGCCCAGACAAAGATTATTTCTAGGCCTGAGCTTTATATTTTATGTATAAAGCCCACCCTGAGCCTAACTCAAGTCAGGCCATGGACATCTCACATATTTAACTTAAACTTGGGAATTAACCTTGCTTGCCTTATGATTATGTGTTTGCTTCATCTTTTTTGTGGTTACCGGGGAGTGGGCTTATAGTGACCACTATATGCACTTAACCTTATAGCCCAAACATAACCTACCATAGTGTCATTTTAAAATTGTAGGTCTATCCATCAGTGTAACTACTATCTCTGTATAATGCTTTGTGTTTGATACTTATGAATTAGCCTTTATCTGGTTCACCAGTAATTATGCGATTGGTCTGATTTTCAGGTTCGCCTATTGAATGTCTTTTCCAAAGGGAATGATTACCTTGTTAGATGGGGCATTTTCCCCGCTGCATCTGCTAATTATATTTCTAATACCACTACTGTGATACTAATATTTGCATTTTCAACTTTATTTTTTTCCATCTATTTACCACAGAATTGATCTGAAGCTTATTTTCCTTTATTATCTGCAGAGCATCATTCTGCACTTAAGGGATCATCAAATGCAGTTTCCTGAGAGATTTGGAAATTTCAAGTTGGTTGAATGGAATGTCGAACCTCAAAGGAAGTTGTATGCCCTATTTTTCATACACTTTTATTATTCCTTTTATGCTACTAGTGTGGATTTGGCTACTATTATTGTGATAAACAAACTTTGGAGCATTTTGGACCATGAAGGAACCCAAAAATCTTGCCTGCTTATTGAAAATGAAAATAATTAGTAATATTTGTGTTAGAGATAAGATATGAAATCTAAGTCCCACTCAAAGACCTGGAGGATAATCTATAACTTTTTTAACCCCCATAAAAGTTAAATCTTCTTGGGGACTTGTGTTTTGAACACTATACAACTAGCTAACTGTAGCTAGACGTATGGGCTGCATTCAGACATGGGTCAAATGATCCTATTTGGTTGGATTGCCTTTTTCTTTTTTTCTGATCTTGCTTTCCTATTTCTCTGGGGACTTGTAGTTCAAATGTGATCGACTTTTTGGTACAAATAGAGTGTCACATGTATACCAGTACTAATGTGAAAGTAGTTAAAAAACAAAGATTGATCAAAGTATACTAATAAAGAATGCAATATGCAGTCTCATATGGTCACTGCATTAATTAAGGTCACAGTTGAAGGGCTGGGACTGGGATGCCAGAATGCTATTAGTAATAGAATGATGATGGAATGGGTTGGCAATACAGTAGTAGTGGGATGGTCCTGGCGGAGAAAGTCTCTCAGATTAGCACTATTTTTTGCATCCCAGGATGCAATAATTAGGAGGGTTGGGTGGGATACATGATGCAGCAATGGGTGCCTTGGTTTAGGCCATTGTAGTAAACCATGATAATTTGTTGTATCTATTACCTGTCCTCAAGTTGGGGTTCTTTTTGCCCTTGGTCAAGGTTCCAGTTTTACGACTTATATACTATGAAGCTATATTACCTGAACTCTGATAAATGTGTTACACATGAGTGGTTGGGTACAGTGAAATTTTGTGAAAATTTCTCACTCGGACTGATTTATACGGTCTCAAGAATCATGTCCATGTGGACTCTAGTTGCCCGAACTGGATTCAATTTAATTACATTAGAACTAGGAATTGATATGGAAATTAGAGAAGTACAGCCTCAGATTTCCCTTTTTTGTTGGTCTGAGTACCTTCGTTCCTAGACTGTATATATTATTCTTTTTCATCTTCTTGAGCTGGTTTAGCTTCAGAAATAACATTGGGTTCTTACTGGAGCTTCACAGGACATTGTGGCAACATCACTTTCTGGCAGTTTACTTGGATTTGTAACTACTCTGATTCGTAGTTTGTCAGCTATTGGGATATGGTTGTTTCACCGTCATAGACAACAAGCAATCAGTGCTTATGAGCCTGTTGGTGCTCCTATTCCAGAGCAAGAACTTCAGCCTCTTCGATCTTAAATTTCATCTGGGCATAAGCGTCTGGCTGCATGGTTTTCTTGTATACTATCTATTATCTTGCACAGAAAACATGCTTTGGGAACTCTGAAAATGACGATGATGGTGCATCCAAGCGAGGTCAGTACAAAGAGATGATATATGCAAATCCCTCTGTTGTTGTAAAATTTTTTATCTTCCATTTTTGAGAAAAAGAAAACCAAAAGTGCCAATAGATAACTTGAAACGATGATCATATTTTTTATTGTCATGCATGTCAATATGTAGAAATAATCTCTCTCGGATCAAGTGTGATACAATACCAATTCGAGAAAGGAAACTGTAGTCTATGGATACTTTCTTTTTGTTCTTTATTTCCATCAGATTACTGGAATATTGCAGTTTCTATCACACACTCATGTCGTGGGCATTGATGATGCCAGCATAAAGAAGCAGGACCCATTTTTCTTGTATTGAAACATTCTGGACCATGATGAAGACGCTAACGTAGTGGTCCTGGCTCTGATTAAAATCGCACTTGATTCCTCATTGAGAAAGACCGCACACCCCGTGAACAACCCTCCAATTTTTGTTTGGCCAATTAAGAGGAGGAAATGGTCGAAAGCGGAAACATATACTCGCAGAAAGATGCAGGGCAGGTTGCAGCGCTACTTTTTCCTTCCAAAACTTGTCCTGTAAAGCTTACTTCCCTCAACGATGTGAACCGAATGTTGGAAAAAGGTTTGAGATGTAAGAGTAAGGAAAAGAATTGAGGTTTTATGGGGGGAAAATTAAACTATTTTCTTTAAAAAATTATTGTCAAGCCGAGACTTTCATTGACTCGAGCAATTTCCATTTTCTAACCTTGGTCGAAAGTAGCCCACAAGTTGAGGCTCTCTGCCTGCAAGATGATCTTGATAGAGGAAGAAGGATTTTTCTCTAAAGGAGATAGAATCCAGCCGCCCGTGAACTTATTCCCACCAGTTTTTATTACTCAAAAGTCTCAAGCCAGCAAAGTCCAGGCAAGAAAGATACTGTCGCCGCTGTCTACACTTTCTACTCTGCAATATATTTGTTGAAGGGTCATCTCCCAGATCCCAGAAGGCAGTGCTCTGGAACTTTTAACTAATTCCTTTACATGCTTTTTACCGGTTCAACTTGCTCACCAAGCTAGTATTACACAAAAGTTTGCATGTAAGTGACTAAGCAAAGGGTACGCCGTTGCCGTGGCAAACATTTTCTTCTAACTTTTTTTCTTTTCCAGTACATCGTCCAAACAGATTGTGACATGGCACAGGGAAAGAGGACAATCTTTTCTTTTTCTTTTTCTTTCGGAGGGAGGAAGGTGCATTGCAGCATTGGTGCTTCCACCTTCCAGGCTCAAGCTTTTTCTGGCAAATTCTAACGAATTATTGCCAGATAGGTGGCATAATCAAGCGGCAATCATAAGGAAAAGGGCCCAACGGGCACCGCAGCACCGGGGACAACAAAAGTGGGTGTTACATCCTACAATTGCACGTGAACATGCTTACTTAGAAAATAATATTTACAACCAGTCAACCTCGAACCAAAAACCATGTTGAAAGAGGCATCAACTAAAGTATCAGTTCTCCCAACAGCACAAACTTAATTGATGATCTTGAGCTTGTACATCATCGTTAAGTGCAAGCCAGCTGCCACAATCAAGTCTTTACGGAGCACCTTTTAATGTTTTAAGGATCGATCATCAATTAAATCACATCAATGGTCACATTAGATAATTACCAGAGTACATGGAAATCAATCAAATGAGGCAACCTATTCATAAACCACCGAAGGGACCCATTTATTCATTTAATATACTATATATATATATAGCTTAATAGAAACCTTCAATGGGTCCTCCTCCATGATTCTTAATTTAGTCCCACAAGCGGACGTACGCCTTCTACAACATTGTTATGATGGAAAGTAAAGGAAGAGAAATACAAGTAGGGAAAAATCTAAGGGCACTTGGGCTTGCCCTTGGAGTTCTTCATGTCCCTGTAGCAAGGGCATTCATGCTTGTTCCCGTTTGTCCCAGATGGAACACAGTTGCATTTCCCACAGCAAATTCCACAGTACTTCAAGCACCTGTCTTTTATTCCTGCCTTTGAGCACCTCACCTTACACTTAGAGTCACAGAAACCTGCCATACATGAAACCACAAGCTCATCATCATTAGCATAAAATATATAAATTGAGAATTTTTCGTTTGTTCATTAGCTTTATTTTACATATTTGCACCTGCCATTGACACCTCAAAGAAAGAGGAGCTGAGAACAAGAGAAACAAGCAAGAATGTCACCAAGACGAGCTTCATTTTCTTTCCGAAACTGAGTTTTGTTTACAGACAAGTAAACCCGAAAAATCAAAGAAAGTATAATATTGCTAGTGTTTTCCTACGACAGTTGGCAATGGAACGAGCCCGGAGGGGCTTTATGTAGCGAGGAGGTAGCAGGGGTAGGTAAAAAGTAAGGAAAATGTTCACTAAACATCAACAGTAAATTACAGACTGTCATGGGGGATTTTTTTGGTTTGGTGGGGATGACATCTCGTATTGGTTTATGGCTTTAGCTACATTGCTTCTCCAGTACTAACATGATTGTACTGTCAAGGAACATCAAATACCAATCTTATTGCAAGCAGATCCAATTAAACCTTAATTTTATGTTGTTTCATGTTTTCTAAATCATTTAATTTGCTACTTTTAAATAAAGTTGATCATCCAATGGTACTTCTCAAAAGAAAAAAATATTGTCGGTGGTTTCCATTGGCTCCTGCTAATCGGAGGTTTATGGAGTGGTACCATCACGTTAACATCAAAGTGTCCCTTCTTGTCATCATTGTGGTGATGCACATGTCTGAGTGGGACTCCAGAAAAGCCTCGAAGAAATGTGACTGACAGCAATTGCCATAGGGAAAATGGTCAAAAGATTAATCTTCTAATTTGTTAAAGTGACACCGATCGTCATCTTGAAAAACATAACATGTCCAATGGGCAGTGCAAACACCCCTACCGAGTTAGTTGCTTCTTGCTTGGCTACCATGCATTGACATTCACCATTATTCTTCCTTCTTCTTTTTTTTTTTTTTTTTTTTTTTACAATTTGGAGGTCTGAAGAAGACTCTGGAGAGTGAAGAGAGAGAAAAGAAAGAAAAAAGGGAAAACTATAATATTGTTATCGCTTTCCATGAATGCGGTGCCATGAAAGGGGAATGGTCGGCCCCGTACTGTGCCACCTAAAGCGTCCCATGTCAATTGTCACGTGATCTGTTTGGATTCATTTAGGAAACATTACGCCAAAGAAAATAGGCCAATGAGTGTGATGCCAAAGTCTTTAAAAACTTTTACACGACATTTTCTGCAATAAGGTTTGGCAACTTTGGAGCAGGACACTTCCAAAATAATAATGTACGTACTATGAGATTTAGATTGAGTATATATACAATTATATCGTATATGCCATGTGTATTGACTCATTCAATGATTCAATTATGTCAGTGAACCTTAATTTTTCGATCAGAAACACTGAATTGTGCATTGCATGCTTATGGCTGCGAAATGGCCATTCGTCAACTCGGAAATAAAGGGATGAAAAAACCAGCCTGCCTTAGCTGAGTTATGGCTGGAATAAAAGGTTCGATGTCTGTATAATACGTGAGCAATGTTCAGATTTATTTATTTCTTTGGTTTGTTTGACTATTTGTTCCTCAGAGCTTGTCCTTGTTCTTGAATGGCTGCCAACAGGGTCATCTTCCATTAGTTTGCAACCAACTATATCCTAGCAGCTGAGCACCAGGTTATAACTACACATAGGACATAGCTGTCCAATATTCCCACGAGGATCTTATAATTTCTCACCTTGAATTCAAGTCAGGTAAATGACCCTGTAATGAAGATTGTTAACAAAATGACATTTAAAAGACTGACAACTTCTTTACATATAAGCATTGAGCCTGCGATAGAAGTGGCCCAACTTTTCAGTGGCATGTGGGCTGGCAATCTGCTCGTTAGCGTAGTAAAAGCAATGTTATGGTACAATCTAATGGCCATTCTTGAACGAAATAATAGTAGTCTCTTACTGTTAATTTGCCAAGACCATGCATGGATGCATCCCAGAAAGGAAATAAATAATGATCACTTTCACTGATGTTCTGTTTTGAATAATAGTTCATTTTATAAGTTGTAATTCAACAGGATTACTAATCAGCTGCCTGGAAGATGGGATTAGGGATATGGGGCAGAAATTTTTTAAAAAATTTGAAATCTAAAATTCCCTTTAGATAAACGTTGAAATTGATTTCAGTATAATTAAAAACAATGATGACTGTAAAATTGAATACTATAATGGTAAAGTTGGATACTATAGCAGTAAAATTAGAATAAATGATGAAATAATAATTACCCTAGCTAGTGGCATAAGTTTACATAACATCATTGTATTGGAACCAGAAATAGAGCAAAAACAAACTAAAATTGTGTGGAGACTTTTGCATGGTTACCCGTTATAACACGTAAAGGGTAATCCCTATCTAAACACAACCCAACAAAGGCATTGATAGCTGTAAAGCTAAAGAAGGTCCCCCCCCTCATTATATCTTCACATTAAACGAATCATTCACCCCCGTATGGAAATTGAAACTGATGGTGGTCCATGAAAATTTCAACGTCTCCGGTATGAAATATATTATAAAGGTAAGTTAATTTTAATTTTTTACTAAATATCAAAATGATAAATTTTATAGCTTTTAAATATCAAAAGATAGGGATAAGTAGTAAAAGAAAAAGAAAAAAAAGGAAAATAGAAAGTGATGCAAACAGGGTAAGAATAAGATATACAACTTGGGCTAGCAACTGAAAGTTTAGATTCATGGGCTCTAAAATATAAACTATTTAACTCGATAGAGCCGGATTCCAAACTATTAGGTCCAGAATTGGGCCAGTTTTAAATGGTAAACTTTGTTTCAATTGAGATCCAGCTCAAAAAGCTTTGGTTCCAATTGCCAACCAAGGATGGCATGGGTCACTACTATCCGGGCGGGTTGGGCACTCCAACGTATATCCACAAGGCCTAATGGCCAATGACCCGTGCAGCAATTACATGCATTCTCAAGAATCTAACGACCTCCCATTTCATATCAGGGATTAATAAGGTGAGGATTAATTGACGATCCTTTATCAAGTCCACATGATTATGTGATTAATGAGTTCAAGTGAAAAGAAAAAAAATGTTAATCTACCCAGTTTCACTTTCTTCAGTGAGGTTAGATTGCGAATCTAGTTTTAATCATCATGAGCATAGAAATCAACACAGTTATTTTCCACGCGGATTGTACAGGGAAGCAATAAAGAAAACAAATTTATGCATCCCAATGCAGCTAGATGTGCGTTTGGAAACTTCCCCACTAAAAATTATCACAACAGAATAGTATTAACATACGGAAGCTCCAGACACCAGACATTAGTACCGAATTATTAATAATCTGACTCACTAGAGACAGTTTGAAACCTGTGGAGCTGCTTTTCATGAATTTTTCTTCTATTTGCAGCATGTTTATATGGTAGCCGCATAATCTTGAGACCTTCAACATTTGTACTAATGCCGGTTTAACCTATTTCTGATTTCTGTTATGTAAGAGCCTTGCTGGTTTCAGGTTATTCAGGCATGTTGAGGGACCACCGTTTGCTTTTGGTTTGAGTCGACAACAACCCGTAATCAGATATTGAACCTGTGGTCCCTCAAACATTTTTCTGCAGTCTCCATCAAAACGCGCATTGCATTTACCATTATCATGACAAAGAAATGGAAGGAATGAAAGAGGTTGGTTGCTAAAGTTTGAGTTTGTACATTTAGCATTCATCAGAGTTTTCCTCATTTATTTTACAGTGTGAGATTTCCGATTTGGTGAGCCCTTAATTTCTGTAGTCACAGCTTCCTTACTTTATTTTGGTGAATTAAACGAACAACTGATGCACTGAATGGCAAAACTGAACAAATTTTCGTATAATTGAAGCTTCTTCCAGTATCAGAAGTTAATCCTGTCAGATTCAGAAAAGATTGAACTTTTGTAGGAAAGGTATTCGTTCTGGACATGTCGAAGATCCTACTCAAATTGCTTTCAGAAGTCGACGTAAAATCAGATTTGGAACTCCAAAAATCTAAGGTTCAAGACAGTATCATGACAAGTATGCACAGGAAATCTGGAAATCTGTTCTAATCTGAGTTTATTGGTAGAATTTTGGAGATTTTCGAAGGTTTGACAAACCTGTCCGGCTTAACTGATCCTTGGTCACATAAGACAAAACATGTTTTAGAAAATGTAAAGTGTTGGGTGAAATAAAAGAAAAACAATGGAGAAAAGTGAGCGAAAAGCAATGTGAAACAGCATTGTTCAGGATTAAGAATTCAACCAGGGGCCTAACTCCTAACATCACCTATGGTGATTGGTGAGGACCACAGCTTTCTGATGTGGCAAGCACTAACCCAACAAAGAAGAAAGCAAAAGATGATCAAATTTTAGAACCAATGTTCAAAAATATAATCAGTTATATATGAATAACATTGTTAACAGATGAAACATCCAACCAAAGAAAAAAACATCGGTACCATATGTTAACTAAGGCTTTGGAGTACTCTTAATTATTACTTCTATTATTTTCATTCTTTTTACTGTTGATAGAAAAAGTGTTGATTTGGATAACATCAAGATAACCTAAAATGACTTTTAAGGCTTGTGAAACAAAAAGAAGATACATGATCCAGATTGGAGGAACACAGATATCCAACCAATCAATCCCTCATAATCAACTTTTTGCCTAAAATAAGCAATCAGCTACCAAATAAAGAGTCAGGTGAATGAATTTACAATATGAAGCGACCAGCAACACATTTCATTTTCAGTTGTGGAGTTCTGTTACGAGTTCCTTATTTTTTCGAGACCTTGCAAATGGTAGTTGCTTCATCAATTCTTTCTCATCCACCTGATTAAAATAAATGCAACAAGTACAATATGTGTCAGGACATAGTTCATTCACCGGAATCAACCCCCCAGTAAACCTGTGATGATTTATACTTTTTTTGAGAAAAAGAGGCATACATTTGCTTCGATTCAAATATGGAAAACGGTTCTTAAGGTTTGATTATAAAATCCTTTTCATGCGCCGCTAGGTGTCACTATACCACTTGGCCACCTTTTTTCACTTCCCAATTTCTTCTTCCCTGAATATTTATGGTACCAGAAAACCCTAACCCTTGCCCAAATCCTGGAAGCGGTATACCAAATCTTTGTTCTGAAGCAATGGATTCCCTAAAGAAAAAGGGGAAGATAACACCTACCTTTACCACCCCTAAAACCAGCGATATGGACAACGTGGTTATGGAGCAGGCATGCACTAATCCAATGTGTTTCTTTTGTATCATGAAAGAGCCAGACCCATCTCTCAGAAGAGCTGGAATAGCAAGTTGTTTCAAGGAAATGCCTCTCATAAAAGATGACCAACAACATGTTTTAGTGCTGAGTGGTCTCTGGAATATTGCCATGACCCAGCCAGATGATCCGGAGTTCCCATCCCTTGGCATCTTTGACTGCATGGCAAGTTTCGTTGAAAAAGGAATCAATGATAGAAGCTGGCTTCTTAGGGACCAGAACATATACATTCCCTACTATGCTGCTCATGTTATTGGTTCTTATACTATGAACAAGGTTGACTTCGCAGAGAAAGCTGTCTTGGCAGGTGTTATACCTCCATTAATGGAACTTCTAAGAGGAAAGATAAGTTGGGTTGAGCAAAGAGTTGCGGTTCGAGCTCTTGGTCACCTAGCGAGCTACGAGAGAACCTTTGAAGCTATAGCAGAATATGAAGAGGAGTTGGTGACACTAGGGATGCACTTAGCTGCTACTTGTCTTGATGAAGTGTATGTTAAGTTTGTAGGTGTGAAGGATAAGTGTAAGAGATCAAAATATCACTGTGACTTGCTTACAAGAGGAGTTGGTGGTTTAGAAATGGAGAACCAGAAGGCAGAAGAATGGGCTAGCCAGCTCCAGTGCTGGTCTCTCTATCTTCTCAACTGCTTTGCTTGCAAAGAGAGATCTCTAAATCTTATTTGCAAGCAAGAGTTTTTGACAGATTTGTCTGGAATGTGGGGTGGATTGGTAAATCACTCATCACCAGCTGGGGTAGGACTGATTAGAATTTTGTGCTACAGTAAATATGGAAGAAAAAGCATCTCTGAATCAAATGAGGTTTTAGAGAATCTATGTCATCTCTCGAGATCATCAGATGATTGGCAGTACATGGGCATTGATTGTCTTCTATTACTTCTCAAAGACCCAGATACGAGGTACAAGGTTATTGAAATTGCCACCATGTTTCTCATCGATTTGGTTGAACTCAAAAGTCTTGGAGATAGATCATGCTTAGGTGAAACAATCACAAAAGCCCTCCTCTTAGATTATAGGCAAAGAAAATTTAGAATCAAGAGCAGCCAAGTTCAAAAGGCACTACTAGAGACATGGGAATTGAAGGTAGAAAGGAGAAGGAGAGAAAAAACTATGTCTGAAGAAAAAGTTGAAGAGAGAAGGGTCCTAACAAACCTGATAAAGCAACAAGCAAACCATATGTTCTGGTTAGGAGATGTAGAAGCAGCTGTAAAGAGCTATACCGAAGCATTAGATGCATGCCCTTTGAAGCTTAGAAAAGAGAGAATGGTTCTATACAGTAATAGAGCTCAGTGTTATTTGCTGCTTAGGGACCCTGATGCTACCATTAGAGACTCAACTCGAGCTCTTTGCCTCTCCAATCCTGCAAATTCTCATGGTAAAAGTCTTTGGAGAAGATCACAGGCTTATGACATGAAAGGGTTGGCTAAAGAGAGCTTAATGGACTGTATAATGTTCATCAATGGCTGTATCAACTCAGAGACTAACAAGCGTGTGAAGATTCCATACTTTGCAGCTCGTATGATCAGCAAACAGATGGATGCCACATGGCTGTTTGCCAATGCCCAGTCGAAGGCCACAATCAGTCATCTGGGAAAAGTACAAGAATCAGACGATGATTATGAGATAAGTAGCAATGAGGAGCAAGAATGTGATGAAATGATAAGGATGATGATGGAGAAGAAAAGTATAGCATCTGGTGAGCAATTGCTTGATTACCATAAAATAGTACAAAGTCGTCACTGCAACTCAATCTTTTGAAAATTCAAATGGTTAGATAGCAGTACATATTTTCTGAAACATAGCGTGCCTCCAAAGTGATAGCACCTTTCAGTTTCGTGCTTTATGACTTTTATGACTTTTTCTGGTAACTTTTTTCAGGTCTATCCACCATAATTGAAGAACCTTTGATTGTAAAGGAAAAAAATTGGAGAGTGATGAAAAGGGCAAGAAGGAGAAAAAAAGCTGTTGCGGCTCGATCAATGTAAACCAAAATCAAATCACTTCATGTTGAAGCAATGATGCCTTAGCATCAAATTTTCCATATATGGTTAATTTTCTCAAATTCTCCATGACATTGAGAATGATTTGTCATTAATACAATTAATGGCATGGAGAAATGTTTTGACTGTTTCGAGTTAGAGTTATGTGCTTGTATAAGAGCTAGAGAGGTGGAAGAAAAAAAAATAGCCCTGACTGATAGTGACTTCAATTTTATCATGAAAGTGGAATGCCAGTGGTGTTTCCAGTGGATCTTTTGTCTTTCAAAAGTAAAAATATATAGGAAGGGTGTGGAGGACCACTTGAGCACATTGTTGAAAAAATGTTTTGAATACAAAATCAACCAAAAGTGGAGAATTAATGTGTTTTTCTATTACAAAAAGGGCAGATACTGAAATCTTTAACTTGCCTCTATCCTTTTTCTAAAACAAGGTTTTTCTTCTTTGTCTGTGTCTCGAGTATGCAGTTTTTGAAGGCCAACTATGCATATTCATTGGGCTCAGTTAAACAGGTTCAAGTTAGGTTTTGCTGTTATGGATCCAATAGAAAAATATGCACGCCTCTTACACCTTATATGATCAGAATCTACTCATTGGGCTCTGCTGGTTTTCATTTGTTCATACAAACTTTACCATACATATACATCAAAGACTGAATTCAATGCCTAAAACCCAACAAAGAACAAACCAATACGGCATTGTATCAGGGGAACGCATAGATTAATGGCGTTTTAGGTATTCTAAAACCTAACGTGATTGTAAATCTCTGTTACAAGTTTTATTTTCAAAGGTTTTATGTTCGAAGAAAGCTACGATAGAAAGAGGCGGCGTTAACGGCCTGGTCCGTACATCGTAGGAACTTTGTGTGTTTATTCTGCAATATAGGAACAGACATGAAGGTTTCCCTTTGCTATTTCCTGCGAGCAAAGCTGCATGAGGAAGGCTACTCTATTGGTTTGGGTACCGCATCAAATTTCAAGTTCGACGGTTTCTTTTCTTTTCAACGGTCCAATACCAAATCTGTGGAAAAAGATGTCTAACTCTTGCGTTTGACATGACGTGGAACGGATGGATAATTAAAACATACGGTAAATAATATCTAAAAAAAAATTACAGTAAATACATTCGGTCGATTTTATTAATTGCCTAATGCCTACTCCTTAAAACTTTAGAGTATATCAAGTCTAAATACAAAACTTACCTCTAAACTCACCAAACTTGAAAAAAAAAAAAAAACAACGAACAAAGAGAATTAAGAAAAAGTAACATGATACTCCAAGCAATTAAGGTTTTTGTAATTAAAATTAATTTATGATAATTTCAAGTACAAAAATATTATATTTAATATTATACTTCAGGTGACGTTTTATCAAAATAAAATTTGATTGATTGATAATCAACTATATAAGTTTTTGTTAATTAATAATATTTTGACAATTCAATCCATGAAATTAATAAATATCTCTCAATTCTTACTATACAAGTTTAATATGAAATTCGATTCGCGTTGTTATTTATAAGTTAAGTAATTAAATTTGTTTGATCCGTGAATGAGCATAATAGAAAAAAAATTTATCAAGATTGAGTTTTGAATCAATTAATATGTCATCAAAATTATTATTTGAATGTTATAAATTAAAAAATTTTAAAAGTTTAATTTTTTTTAACTAAATAAATATTAGAGTATGATAGATGGAGAATTTCAAAAGAAATTTCTTAGTTATAATGAAGCTCTAGTTTCGTATTAAATGCCAAATGACAACTTAAGCGTAAAAATGATAAGAGTAATTTGACTAAATAAGTTATTTTACATAATCAAATGTACGATCTTTCAACCTCCCATAATAAACACTCATAAGATTTAATTTTAGTTGTTAAGAACAAACTTATTGACATATAAAATCAAAATGCATTTTTTATGAAAGCTACTTCAAAAGGATAATATGAATCCTTTAATTTATTTTTTTAATTTCAATAAATAAGATCGAGGCAATTTTAAATAAAAAAAAGAGCAAAAATTTAACTTCATAAACAAAATATTAAAATTTAAAAAAAAATAAAAGGAGAAGAACTAAATAAAAATTTTAATTATTAATTACTAAATTAATAAAGTTTACAAACAATGCGGTAGAATATTTGTTACTTCCCCTTGAAGAGACAGAAATACCCCTATGATAGGATCCAGATAAAGCCCAAAACCTCGCCCAATATATGTCATGGCTTCCGTCACCCTTCTGTCCTTTTCTCGTTAATTAATCTCTCTTCTTATAAATTGGAGAAAAAAAAATTGTAAACAATTTAGTACAACGAGGAAAAAAAGTGGTTCCAATCCAAATTTTTATCAAACACCAAAGCCAGACTGTTGATTGGCAGTCCCATCAATCATCAGTCTCCTCTCTTATTGTTTTTTATTTTTTATTTTTTTATATATCGTTTCCTACCCTGCCCACAGATTCAATCAAATTATCTCAAAAGAAAAGCATGAGCTGGTGGTGGCCCGGTGCCATTGGCGCTGCTGGGGCTAGTCCTCATTTTCTCTGGCTTAATTGATTTCTGTTTGTTTTCAGTATGAAATTGTTTATTTTTTTAATAGTTCTTAAGAACAAACTTATTGACATATAAACCAAAATGCATTTTTTATGAAAGCTACTTCAAAAGGATAATATGAATCATTTAATTTATTTTTTTAATTTCAATAAATAAGATCGAGGCAATTTTAAATAAAAAATAGAGTAAAAATTTAACTTCATAAACAAAATATTAAAATTTTTTTTAAAAAAAAAGAAGAACTAAATAAAAATTTTAATTATTAATTACTAAATTAATAAAGTTTACAAACAATGCGGTAGAATATTTGTTAGTTCCCCTTGAAGAGACAGAAATACCCCTATGGTAGGATCCAGATAAATCCCAAACCTCGCCCAATATATGTCATGGCTTCCGTCACCCTTCTGTCCTTTTCTCGTTCTTTGATTAATCTCTCTTCTTAAAAATTGGAGAAAAAAAAATTGTAAACAATTTATTACAACCGAGGAAAAAAAGTGAGGCTAATTCTACACACCCTCTCTCTCTTACACTTTCCCTCTCTACTCTTTGTTCTCCAAGTCATATATAGATATAATTTTCGTAATCCTTTATATATAGATCCTTTTATACCCCCTTATAAATGATATCAAAGCTTAGTCTTATATAAAAGTTTGCTAAAACTTGCATTACTGATTCTACAATAAAAATCTTTTTGTTCTTCATCTTGTAAGATTTTCTTTACTCTTACTTGTATCTTTTGCATAAGCTCTTTGTTTCAAAGCTCATACGTACATATCTGAGTGGATAGCTGGCTTTTATGGCCTGAGTTGCCTTTATTGCTAGCGTTTCAGAATAGTACACCAATTTTAAGCACCAGAAACATGAAAACTTATGAAGAAAATTCTTGTATTTATCAAGATAAGTCTTATAATCATGACTTGCATATAGATCCTAAGTATGAATCTAGTAATATTAGCATAAGTAGAACTGTAAATGGTTTAATAGATTTAACTTCTTCTTTCTTTCATAATTTTTTTTGTAAAAATTGATAATATAGAAGATAAAGTAGATATGCTTGTAAAAAAGATGGACCAAAAGCATGTTCCCCCTGAAACATCTATTGATTTTAGACCACTTTACTATGATAATATTATGATGAACGATGACAAACCCTCATCTTCTACCTCTGCAAAGGCGAAACAAGAACAACTTGATTTCGACTCTTATAAATATATTATTAAAAATTTTAAATTAAAAATAGAGCATTGTAATGATCCGCAACAACGGATTGATTACCTTAATGCTATAGAGACTCTTTATGAAGAACATAAAGACATCTTTCTTAAATACAAATATCATTATATGCTCAACTATGATACAACCAGTATCAGTAATGAAGAGGCTAGTGATATTGTAAATGATAATTTTGAAATTCTTGCTACTAACCCAGTAGTCAAGGATGAATCACCTTCATCCGATGAAACCACATCTGATGAAGAAGATAGTTCTGATGATCAAACAGATCCAGAACCAACAAAAATTCTAACCCCTCAACGAGAGGCGAGTGGGAAAAGAAAAGTCAAAGCAATATCTAACCCAGATATTGATGATATAAGGTAATTTCCAGATTTAATAGATCCTGATATAATGGATCAACATCTTCCTCATCTTAAGGAAAAATATGCTCACCTAAACAAGGATAAGATCAAAGATGAGATAAAACAAACTTCTGATTCTGGCCAAACAAGTCAGGCTCAGCAAGAAATCCCTTTTATCGATTCGTTAAACAAACGAACGGTTTCTCAAGAAGGTACATATTTAGACTTAACCAAAGTCCCTCTTCAAAACTATGGAAAAACCATAGATGATTGGGCACAATCTATGTCTATTGTAGTCACAAATTACAAGGATACATGGGGACGAGAACGATTCTTCAACTACTTTTATGGCACATGGCAATGTGATGTCCTACAATTCTTAAAGAAATGGGAGAAGACAACCTTCGAAGAACAGCAGAAATCCTCTCTGTTAGCTGTCGGTAATATTCCTCAACTTTGAAAGATTTAACCCAAATCTTAAAAAATAAGTTTTACGATAGTACAGAATTCCTAGATCCTACTCAAGAAGCTCAATTTATTTTATCAAAATTAAAATTATGTGATATAAAGTTTTTAGATGAATTTTCTAAAAAATATCTTTCTGAATATCAAAAATTGGATGAAAAACATTCCAAATTTTGGTTACAACAATATTTTCTTAAACTTTCCTCACCATGAGATGAATTAAGTTCTCAAAATTACCCTGTTTACCTTGAATTAAAACTAAAAACTGTTCATGTTGCAAATTCCAGTATAAAACTATATGATACTCTTGGATGTAGAATACACTATGT